ATTAAAATTTAAAAATAAAATTTAAAAATTTAAAAATTTAAAAATTTAAAAAATTAAAATCATATTAATTAACCCTTTATCTACTGACGGTACTTAAAAGTACCACTTTAGTTAAGTGCCTGTATTATTTTTAATTTTATACGAATTTTGAAAATTATTAATGTAATTAATAGTATTATCTCCCCTGAGTCGCCGGTAGTTGGAGGGATCTATGTATTTCGAAAATTTTTGGTGTGGCGCCAATTTCAATGTCTTGCTATATCGGTAATTCACAATTGTTCTGTGCAGTTCTCACACACGTTCATGATTTCTCTTTGTTTACCTTATTCCTGAAGTTTTCATCCCCAAATATTTTTTATTGGCATCTCCTATAGTCAGGCAAACGCGTTTAACTTCTAGTTATACAATTTTAATCAAATTGTCTTTGTATTAGATCGATGTTTACAAGTGGACTTGTACCGTCAGGGCACACGGACATTTTTTTAGGATGTTTAGGAAATGGCAGATTTTTTATGTGGAGTGACATAAATATTATTGTCTTAATTAATTATCGAAATGTACTGAAAAATGATATTTACACATTTATAAGAAGGTTAGCATATGGTTTAGCTAAGAAATATTGTAATTACATGTTGATTTCTAGTAGTAAAAGAATAACAAGAATAAAGGTAGCAGTTGCAGGCTCGTTTACTAGGTTTATTAAACTTCATTTATATACCAAAGCCTAGTTCTAGTAGTAAGATTTACTTTTGTTAGTTCTCTTTACTGCAATAAACTGTCTTGCCCACAATAACTAGTATTTACGTAATGTATACTGTAGACTAGTAATAGTCCATACTTCTGCATATAGTATAGATCTATATGGTAAATTTTAATCCGTAAACAGGAAACAGTAGGCCATTTCGGCTATCCTAAATACATTGAGCTCACTTCTATTTATGAACTTTACAATGTAGTGTAGACTTGTCATAACATTCTAATAGGCTACAATAATACTAGTATTACCAGTAGTTGTGTGCTGAATGACTAGGCTTTTGTTTGTTTATGCGGGTCATTGTAATAGCTATTGGAAGCTTCCAGCAAAAGCATGTTTAGTCCGGCAACCGTTGCTACCACAGAATGACCACAGACACGAATGAGGGAGCATGACATGTCGGCAACTTTTGCTGTGTTTGAGGTCTAAGATGTGTTCCGATTGAAAATCCAATACAAATCGTACTCAAAATATACTTTTGTGCTGTATTTATGTGTGAAAATTACATAAAATGACTGTTGTAATGATTGCCAAGTTATTAGTTAATAAATTGTATTGTTTGTTCCTGTTTTGTAAAAAAAAATATTTGGAAAAAATGTCCTACAATCCTGACGGACTTATAAGTACCAATATCTGTTTGGGCCATTAAAAAATATTTAAACAAAATTTCTTTCGACATATGCTTTAAATGTGTCAAAATGATACACACATTGTTTAAGATAACACATTGTTTAAGAAAGAATTTCATTCAGAAACTAATTCCGTAAATAAAGGGTTAAAATCAAACTAATTAAAAAACAAAATAAATTTAAAATTCAAAATTACAAAATTAAAATTTAAAAAATTAAAATCAAATTAATTAAAATCAAACAAATAATCAAATTACGAAACTAGTTTATATAAAATTACAAAACAAAATAAATAAAAAATCAAAATCAAATTTAAAAAATAATAATTAAACTAATTAAAAATAATAAACAAATTAAAATTTAAAATACAAAAATTTGAATTTAAACAATTAAACTAATTAAAACAAAATAAATTTTAAATTTTAAATAAAAAAATAGAAATTAAAAAATTAATAATTAAACTAAAAATAATTAAACTAATTAAAAAATTAACAAACAAAATATAAACAAAGTAATTAAATTAAAATATTAAAAATTAAAATTTAAAATTTAAAAAATGTAAAAATTAAACTAATAAAAAATAAAAAATTAAAATCAAACAAATATTCAAATTACGTAACTAGTCAATAAAAACAAACTCTTTACAAACAAAAAAAAATTAAAAAACTCACTAAAAACTCATTAAAATTACGTATCTAGGTCACCGGTGGTGATTACGTCAAAAGGTCACCGGTGGTGACCTACTGACCTACTCCACCTCCGCCTCACTCACCCTGACCCACCAGCCTCACCCACCCGCTCACCCACCCTCACCCAGGTGGGTGAGTATTTTACTATATAACATGTCTAACCCTCACCCCTCACCCTTCACCCTGCGCCTGGTGGGTGAGTATTTTACTATATAACATGTCTAAACCTCACCCTTATCCCTGCGCCAGGTGGGTAAGTATTTTACTATATAACATGTCTAACCATCCACATCCGCCTCCGCCTCCACCTCCGCCTCACCCAGGTAGGGAGTATTTTCCTATATAACCTTTGCGCCTCCGCCTTCGCCTCCGCCTCACCCTTCACCCACCCCCACCCCCATGCTAACCAAAAGCGACATAATATACTACTCATGCTGTGATCAGTGTTTCTTTCAGACTTTTTTCTCCGGGGGGGGGGGGGGGTACCTGAAATTTTCGGTGGGGCGATAGACCTTCTTCGGGTGGGGGGGGGGGGGGGGGGGACGGGACGGACACTATTAAAAGTTATATAAATTTCATTTCGTTGGGAGTGGGGGGGGGGGGGGGTAGAATATTGTCGAGGGGGGGGGGGGGCTACGGTATGTGTATGTGTATGTGTATGTGTATGTGTATGTGTATGTGTATGTGTATGTGTATGTGTATGTGTATGTGTATGTGTATGTGTATGTGTATGTGTATGTGTATGTGTATGTGTATGTGTATGTGTATGTGTATGTGTATGTGTATGTGTATGTGTATGTGTATGTGTATGTGTATGTGTATGTGTATGTGTATGTGTATGTGTATGTGTATGTGTATGTGTATGTGTATGTGTATGTGTATGTGTATGTGTATGTGTATGTGTATGGGTATGGGTATGGGTATGGGTATGGGTATGGGTATGGGTATGGGTATGGGTATGGGTATGGGTATGGGTATGGGTATGGGTATGGGTATGGGTATGGGTATGGGTATGGGTATGGGTATGGGTATGGGTATGGGTATGGGTATGTCAATGTGTATGCGTATGCGTATGTGTATGCGTATGTGTATGCGTATGCGTATGTGAATGCGTATGCGTATGCGTATTCGTATTCGTATGCTATGCGAATGCGTATGCGTATGTAGACGTAGACGTAGACGTAGACGTAGACGTAGACGTAGACGTAGACGTAGACGTAGACGTAGACGTAGACGTAGACGTAGACGTAGACGTAGACGTAGACGTAGACGTAGACGTAGACGTAGACGTAGACGTAGACGTAGACGTAGATGTAGATGTAGATGTAGATGTAGATGTAGATGTAGATGTAGATGTAGATGTAGATGTAGATGTAGATGTAGATGTAGATGTAGATGTAGATGGGTGAGTGATTAATGTACACTCAAGGTTTTCATGCGGTAGTGTAGATAAACCCGTGTCCCGATATTTATGATCCAAGCGCAGGCATTGTTTACATTTAAAGAACTCACTTTTAGAAAACAAGGTCACGAGTCAAGAATATAGGATTGGTAACGCATGGATGAAACCCTTTTATATATTTCGTCGGACTTTCTTCGATTTCCATGGCAACGCGCTTGGGCGGTTACGCTTATATATATATATATATATATATATATATATATATATATATATATATATATATATATATATATATATATATATATATATATATATATATATATATATATATATATATATATATATATATATATATATATATATATATATATATATATATAAATATAAATATATATATATATATATATAAAGTAATCACACACAATTAAGTTACATTAATATAAATAATTAGCAATCTCGACAGAACGGACTTGCAAACAATAACAAAAATAACGAAGAAAAACTTAGGAATAAACTTAAACCAAACGCTCCTTTGGGTGTTCTAAAAAAAATAATGGCATTAACTAAATTAACACACTATAGATAGATATAATCGGCTATCAACTAAACATGATGTTAACAAATCATTTTTATGCTTGGTAAATGTATATGTCAATATTAAATTTACACTCATCAGATTATAAACTAGAACATTTCCAAAAGAAACATATTATTTGAATTAAAAACATATATTCCGTGTTGACTATATCGATTATATCTAAAAATAAAATAATGTTCACATTGCAAAAGGTCCTATTTACAGTCTATCTACCATATATTTGCTCACAGTAATAAGAATGAATCCTCCCGCTTTTCTTACTAAAAAACGTTACTTTCACACTATACTATAGCAAATCACCCTTAAAAAGATAACCCCTAAAAAACAGAATTCTATTTATTTAGGGCAATAAATAAACGACGGCAATGCTCATTAACATCATTTCCCAGCGCCATTGCATCATGTCTCTAGCTATAACCTCTGCTGTTTGAATGCTGTGCCTCTTTCTTAAACTCTTTCTCCGTTGTTTCTATTGACCGCGCTTGATTTCTCTTGCCTTGTAGTGTATATCTTGTAACAGTCCTAGCCTAACCGTCTACTCGCATTCTTAGAACCTGACCCACCATCTCCGTCTTCTGTATCTGATAGCTAATGTTAACGTGTAAATGAGTGTTCTTTTTAACTGCTCATTTACCAGAACATTCTTAATATTTTCCGTAAGCACGTGTTCCGCATTTTCCAACATTCCGAATCATACATCAGCACACGAAGCACATTACTTTTAAATATGAGTTGTTTGGTAATTAAGCTAAACGTGTCCGAGTTCCATATATATCAACATACTAAAAGATTGGTTAGCGTTCCATGTTCCATTTTTAACACATTGAAGCAATCTTAGCATAGACGACAATACCAGTAATAGTAAAATAATCAAATATACAAACATTATAAAAATAAATAAAATACAGAAATATATTTCGAAATTATTTTAGTCAACTTGGAAATGTCTAAAGTTCATGTTACTAAATGTGTATCTTGCATTTTGATTTTGTAAACCTTTAACCATGTTAATTAATGTTTTCCTCTGATCATGGTTTATTTTTTCATCCGTAGTTAAATTTTCAAAAAGAACAATTCTATTGTTGCATTCTTCCAACAATTCTTTAAAAGGTCCAGTCTGTTCTTCACAAAACGTCTTTAAACTTAGGGATGATTGACGTCTAAATACATCTCCATTTGTCATGACTATTATACCATAATCTTTTAAGAAACGTTCTCCTAGAAACTGTTTAAGAGCCTCAACAATTTTTATTTCTTCTCTTGATAAGCGGGATCCCAACTTAATAACATACAAAAAGGCATTGTAACCATTCTTGACAGTTAAAAGGATGTCTGTTAGCGATCTAGAAATCAAATCAGCTCTTGATCCATACCAATCTATGCCGTACCCTTCCAAACAGTCAACAACTTGAATATGGCAACCCATAAATTTGCATTCGCCAAGCACAGGAGAGGTGCGACCTGGGTTAGAATGCGATATAGGAATATAAGTTCTAAACGCATCTTTGTTAAGAATTGAATTTCCAGTTAAACTCTTTCCACTCTTGAATGGTCCCATTAACATTATATTAATTTCTGTAATGGCTAGTTTTTGCTGAAACGAAATCAATAAATAAAAAAGTAAAAACAAACCAAACGTGAATAGTAAACACAAACGCGAACGCCAACGCCAACGCGAACTCGAACACAAATACAAACCTAAACGTTACCTTGGACGCGAATGCTGACGTAAACGTAAACGTGAACGTGAACGCAAATGCAAATGCAAATGCAAATGCAAATGCAAATGCAAATGCAAATGCATATGCAAATGCAAATGCAAATGCAAATGCAAATGCAAATGCAAATGCAAATGCAAATGCAAATGCAGAAGTAGACGTATACATAATTATACAAATACATTTGCATACATTTATTTTTATATTAAAATTTAATTTTACATTAAAATTTAAAAGAAACTTATTTTCAATATTTTCAAAAGGTGTCATCCACTTTCGACGTCCACAAAAATTTAGTAGACCTTTCACTACATGATTCCAAATTACTTATTCATTTACATGCAATGTGTACATTAACTAACATTGTGATATAAGATTTGATATTTTCAGTAACATCTATTGTAGGCTTAAATAATAATTGATACTTAAACTTTTCCAAGATGTCCCTCAGTCTACGGCGTGTTAACTTTCCCTGCAAATGTGCTAAGGTTATCTAAAATTGTTGAAATAGTGACCGCGCATGGAAGCTGTGTACCCTGCATCTAGATTTTAAAGGCTTTTTAACCCACTATTTGTTATTAAGATTCAGAGATTGTAGTCAGTCATGCATCCAACTTTTTTTTATTGAAGATGCTGTCTAGCTATCAACGACTGTATGGGTCCTGGCAAATTCGGCTAATCAATGTGACGTCATTATATTACTTTTACTAAATTGTATGCTGCATGTGTTTCCATAACAAACCGCCTCTCCCCCCTTTTTTGTGGTGGCGCTGACCTTTAGCCTTACACACCTGACCAAGTGAGCGCATTAAACACGCGCTGATATTTAAATATGTAATTGTAACATGGTTATTTTTGAGTTTTTAATTGAATTTTTTTACTAGATTTACATCATCTTAGGCTTTGTCACAAAATAATGATATAGGCTTACTATGATTTAGTTACAATTGTTTGAAATGTTTAAAATAAACATGAAATGCTAAGAATTGTTTGTGAAAATTGCCACGATCATTGCCTCATCGACTCCCGCTTGTAAAAAACAATGCTTTTTATCTTAAGCGGGTGGTAAACATCTACATTACTGATACATTAACCACGAGAACTGTCGATTTAGTGTATGATCTGCATTTTATATGCCTTTTTAAATTTATGTTTTAAACTATCAGATTAAGTATTTTGTGGTTTAATGTGGACGACCAGCTTGGCCCTGAATCCCCCCCCCCCCAATGCACATGCATCCACAAAAGTCGATTTCCGTCCGTGTGTCCGTCATAAATGGATGACCCTTAGGAATAGATGGAGAGAAGATATAAAATATATGAATGGTACCGAGTACGTGAAAAATACGTAATTCACTTGTTTACAGAAGGCCCTAAATGTATCCTCTATGAAATAAATCTTATTTTGCATAGGCATCCTACTGAAACCTAAATGTTTGGATGACGAGGTACATTGCATCCAGAAAAGTTTGCAAAACGAGAATTACAATTGTATGTAGTTGTTTTTTTTAAGAAGATTGTTTCTTCAATCATATAGAGGTGTTTAGTTAAATATTCTCTGCAATGTAATACATTTGGCTAAACAACACACGAAAGTTCTTAAAAAAAAATCAGAAAATGTATGCGAACCCTAAATCTGAAACCTAAACCTAACACAAATTTTATTTATAGCCCTAAGAAATCTCTAATCCAAACCCAACGATAGAAATATTAATAGCCTAATGCTTACTTAAGTTATGAACAGGCTAATGTAAAAGTGTTATGTTTGCACGGATCACAAAATCGAATAATCGCAATTATTTAAACCTGGTTCATAAATAGTATTTTTTCTAACAAAAGCAAATAACATAACTTTCCTTTTGTGAAATACAGGCTACCATATGCTTAATCGGTTTTTTTTTTTTAAATCTATCATAAATCGAGAACTATCATAATAACCACCAAGATGTTTTTTCCCAACACATATATTATATGTATAATAAATCTTCTGTTTAAAAAAGAAATGCTTTAAAGATTTAGATAAAAATTAGTTACCAAAAAATAAATCCTACCTTTACTAATCCGATATTTGGCGATTCCTTGAAAACTTCCATCTATAAATGTAAATATATCAATTACTTTTTTTTACTGATTATATTATTTGAATTTCGAAGATCACAAAACTATTTAAATTCAAAATTGGTGTAAATGGCCGACAACGTGCAGTAAAGATTAACGAAGGAAAGAGAACTAAACTAACGTTTGTCCATTAACATTGCTTTTTTCTTAAAGTATATTTTAAAAAATCAAACTAAATCGTAACTTTAAGTTTTAGTGTCTGAGCTTAAAGCTTGACATGGTCTGTAAATTTATGAGAATTTTTGTTCAATATAAAATTGAAAACTACATTAAAGTAGAAGTCATCCTATACAATTAGTATTGCTAAAGCTTATCGCAAAAAATTGAATAAAACTATAATACATTGTTTTTGTTACGTACAACACTGTTGTTTACCTGTTTATCCAACAATATTCTCGGGCTAGCTACTTCTTTATTATCAGACTTCTTATTTACTGCTGTATCATTTCCAACAGCTTGTTTAGATTCATTATGTGTATTTAACCCTTGTGCTTCTTCGAAATGGGTTTTCGTGTATCTTCCATTTTCACTCCCTAAATTAACCACTATTTGAAATAATCTTTCCCTTTGCCTTCGTCGTTGGATTTTGTCAGTTGTATAGTTGTCAAAAAGAACGATTCTATTATTACACTCTGTAACTAATTGCTTAAAAGCTCCACTTTGTTTTTCACAATACTCGTCGATGCTTAACTTGTGCTGAAGACTAAAATCGCCTCCGTTTGTCATTAAAATGATGCCATACTTTCTTAAGAAATATTCTCCTAAATTATTTTTGAGGAACTCAATATAAGATGTTTCACTTCCAGCTAAGTGATTCCCAAACTTTAAAACAATAAGAAATGCATGGTAGCCTTCTAAGTTAGCGTACACAACATTTTGCATTAATGCACGAAATTTTTCAGTTCCATCTTCCGTATGTAATGTTTCGTTAAAAATATCGGGAAAATCGAGAACTTGTACTTCGCGGCTCCAGTATGAACAGGTATCAATTTTTGGATAGCAAGAAGCTGTGAACGTATTTTTGTATAATATTGAATTGCCACTTTCACTTTTTTCATGTTCATTTTTTCCAATTATTATTAAACACATTTTTTTTGGAAATTGAAATAGATTTCTCTGAAATACAAAACAAACAAAAACAATTAAAACACTTCATTTTTATTTTCTCCTATACGTATAGAGAAAGTATTAAAATCGTGCAGACTCCCCCCCCCCCTAAAATGACGTCACACCTCAACCTACAATCCCCCTCAAAATTGCAGTTAAATTTTTTTAAAACATTGATATTTTTCCAAAATCTTGTCTAAACTATTACAATTTATCAAAACAGTTATCTAAAACGCGAAATAACGTCTAAAATTCGTTTTCTAACATTGCTTTTTTATAATGCAAAAATGTGACGTCGCAGCATCTGACACCCCCCCCCCTCCTTCCCCCTCATCACACATCGTCAAAAAATTACGGACTCCCCTCCCCCTACCGAAAGTGGAACTTATTCTACTTTTAGTTTTTCAAAAGCCTATAACTTGAATACTGTTTCAGATAGATAAACAAAGTTTCACAGATAAGTAAAAGTTCTAATTTTCTACCTTCGTTCTAGTTTTGAGTATATTCCGAAAGTAGTACTTTACGCTATTTCCGATTTCTCAAAAAAAAAAAAAAAACAACAAAAAAAAAAAAAAAAAAAAAAAAAAAAAACAATAAACAAAAAACAAACAACGGATATCTATATATATAATTCTCTTCTGGGAGCCGTTAGAAAACAAGCTGCAAGCGCCTCCTTGCAGTCCCCTCTCTTTCTCTCTATCACTATCACTACCACCCCCACCCCACCCCCACATTGTCTGGTGAGCTGTGGTCACGCTGTTTACATTTTACAATCATAGAGACGGGTTTGGTGAAGGCTATTAGGGGCAGCTAATTTAGTTTGAAACGATTTTAAACTTAGAGGAGGTAACTAAGAGGAGGCTGCTTTCACGTGGGGGGGGGGAGGGGGGTTTAGTGTTTTTAAGCAAATATTATCAGTGGCAGCATTGGTACTGTCAAATTCACAAATTATAAATTACTGAAAAGTAGAAAAAAAAAACAACTAAATAGCGGCGTATGATACGCAGCGGGTCGGCTCGTGAATTTATAAAGTATTAATATTCTGCACTACTATACACGTATTGTTTGCTGTTCACTTGGTATTCAATTTTTAAAAGGAGATTCTATTCTAATTTTAAAAAAAAATTAAGTATGTAAAGCTGATTAAAAAGAATGTCAATGTGCCGAGTTGCCATCCCCGTAGTGTTCTATAAGAATATGCGAGATAGGTTAGGAGAGATCACTTAGGCTTAAGTGTTAAATGTTTTATTTTTCTTTGCATGGCTAAATAAAATGTAACCAGCGAAGTTTGAATTCGATGTATTTTTAGACTGTATGACGTTGTTAAGCAGAAAATATTAAGATCGATTTCTTTTGAACCAACTTTTACTGATTTAGGTTTCCTCCCAAAGCCATACAATCCAACGTTTTATAAATTAAATACTTTTTAATATTTTTTAAAGGACGCACTCTTTTTTATTGTTGCGTATTATTTTCGATACAGCATATGAAATTATTATGAGATGAACGTCAATAACATTTAGAGATATATCAGTCATTTAACATTTTTGGAGCCAGTGAACTGTTTAAAGAAATATCTTTGCTTTTTATTCAAGAAGCTGTTCTTGAAGCTTTTTATTTAATAAATGTATATATAGATTTTCATAGACATTGGTTACACAACTCGCAAATGATTATTATTGACCGTTAACAAATTTTTCATATTCGATTGGTCGCTTCGCCATTTTACTCTCCTTACTAACCTACTTGATCGTATACGACATATAAAATATTTTTGTAATCGTGGAAAAAAAAATCGAAATAGTTTTATACCTTCCTGAGAAACAAAAACAAAGACGACACAAAAAACAATAAAGCTTGGCAATCTTGTCAATCTATGAGTGGTAAGTTGAAAAATTGCATGCAAATATGTATTATATATATATATATATATATATATATATATATATATATATATATATATACGAGTGGTCATGATTGGTTCTCCGTATAGAAATCTAAACGCGTGCACAGATTAGATTCATGTTCGAGGTTTATGTGTCACATGTGTTTTATAACACTTTTGATCATCATGAATATAACTTTAGCATGCGGCGTCAAAACGGTATATGACAAGACGGCTCCCGTCATTACGACTCCCGAAACACAGGCTACTGTCGTTTTGGCTCCCGACAATACGCTTACCTTAGAGACCAAGTCTCCCGACGAAACGTTCTCATTGAATATCAATGGGTCGGCGTGGTCGAGTCGGTAAAGCTCATGGTTGCTAAACCGAAAAATCTCGAGTTCGAACCCTCGGGCAGATGAGGCTCGTTAACTGGGGACAGCCACTCTTCTAGGAGAGACAACTCCAAAATCAAACAACTGCTGCCTTGTAGAATGTTCTTGGTTGGACAAAGGCTATGGAAGCAAATCCAAAAGGAAAAGCAGGCTGAAATCGGAGTTAATGGTCACAATGGCGCATAACCAGTTGACACGTATCCTTAATTGTGTTGTAGGGGGATCCCATCCAACACTAAAAATAAGAACGAAGAAGAAGAAGAAGATTGAATATCACACGGTCCAGTGGCACCACTTCATCAATACTCTTTTGAGTTACCTTAGCCAATACAGAACGTTTGCGTTCCTTATTTGGCTAGCTTTATATTTAAATTTATTTTATCTATTATAAGAAATAGTATGTTTTAAATATAAGGGTCGTTTAACTATAGCTTCCATAAATGAGTCGGTTGTAAGCTGTTCCAAAATTTACTGGTGTAAATGAAACATTATCAGCATTTTAAAATTGGTGGAATTTATCTGTTAAGGGCTCGATTTGTTTGTGAATCGCTGTTAGTTAATAAAAAAAAATCATGCAGGCATTTAAAAGATGTTATTGTGGTATTGGGGTTAGGACAAAATGGTTACTTTTTAGCCAATATGTCAGTCATTTTGTCGGGAGCCAATATGTCGTGAGCACATTTATCGTGAGCCTAAATGTTGGGAGCCCATTTGACTGGAGCCAAAAGTTCGGGAGCCCATTTGACGGGGTTCTTTTGACTGGCTATCTTGACTGGGTCGTTTTGTCGGGGGCCGTTTTGATGGGACCGTTTTGTCCCCGGCCGTTTTGACAATGCACCGGCTTTTAGATAGATTTCATCAATCGATATAAGTTTAGTTGGTGCTATTTTTATTATTAAGGAGAGTTAAGGTCAGTTTAACTGGGTATATTACTAAGTTTAGATTGAGATTGGGTAGTGTTATTAAACTAAGAAATTATTACAAATGTACTTGGTTAATCATACTGTTTTTGAGGAATTATTAATTTTTATGGCAATTATAGTGGTTTGTGCATTTGCAATGTGGCTATATGTTAATTATGAAACAAATAGCCTGGTGATAAGTTTAATTAGTTTATAGTTAGCAGATTTCGCGACAGTAAAATTTCATAGTACTTATTGCATTCCATAGGTTTCGTGTATTTGCAAGATACGTAAATTTTTAAATAACGTTAATGTGCGTAATAGCTATGACAGATTGGAATAAATGTTGGATTAATGTTATAGTAGGCAAAACAAGCTATCAGTAGCATGCTATAAATTGATTTACATATTTAGCTTATGTTAAATTTAAAGTCTGTATAGGTGATATGTTTACGATAATGATTCATTTAGTTAACCTAAATGGGTGTTTTAGTGAAGGAGGTAGGCCATAATTAAAATCTCAGTCTTGGAATAAAGGAGATCGATTTTGTAGCGATGTGTGACGAATTGAAAGTGACGTGGGAATAATAAAATGTCGGGAGATTGACATTACCAACCTGCTTATTATTTCCGGTCAAATCTTACTCCCCCACCCTTAATTACCTCCTCATGTCAGTTGCCTATATACAAAATCCCTACCCAAACAACTGTTTACACTTAAATAACACAAATTTAGAAAAAAGGCCACGCCTCTAAAAATACACTATTTGTAACACATACACATTGTTGAAATCCTCTAATTATATTGCAATAGCCTACAACATCGCGTGCGACTGGTACGCTAGTAATAGGTATAGAGAAAGTGTATGGGAAATCACTCCTGCTTTATTTTAGTGTTTACGTTTCAAATATCTTCATTTTGTTCTCCACAAAAAAACTTAAATACACTCTAATATTTGACACCCTGTTGAATAGAACTGATACTCTAGAACTCAATTTAGTCTTTCATTAATAATATAATGTACAGAAGGATTTCTGAACATTAATCTTTAATTCTTTTTATACAACGATCCCCACCCCCATAATATTAGGAGTACCATCTGAAGGTACTATATTTCCAATTTGGTAATATTTTTTTTTACATTTAAGTAACTTTTTAGCATTATTCATCGTTGGATGTGAGTGCTCTTTAATGATTTACAGACCATTAAATTCTTCAGCAAATTCATCTAGCACAAGATCAATATATGTTACATAAGTTATTAACATACTCCTCAGTTGTTTTTTTTGCACTAATAATTTTTTTTAATCGGCTTTATACACGTGGATTTTTTTTAAAAAGCTGTAGATTAACGCGTATCCTTCTACAATCTAAGAAATGCCTGAAAAGTCAATGTTGGGGAGGTTTTTAACTTCAATTTTTAAAAAAATCCGATCAGTATTGGTAATGTTGTTAGTTTTACAACGCAAATAAAATTGAAATAAACATTTCAACGACTTTATGCATTTTCTTTTTTAATAAAAAAAGGAACATAACATTCTTAACATTTTATTTATTTCAGCTAGATAATCTGCAAATGAATTTAATATAAGAGCATCTTGACCAATTCATGTAGAAGAAACTTAGTAGTCAAGTAGAAGTACATGAACAAATCTTGACCGTAGGTCGTAAAGGAAATATTTCCAAACAGAAATTAACATAAGTATTGATTATTGTATGTAGTATTTTACCGCTTTAAAAATTGTCATGAACCGTAAGTTTTAAAAACTCACTCAGAACTACTGATTAACATCCCAAAAGATATTTATTAAACTGACCTTATAACTATTCTAGATATTTAATGCAAGTTATATATATATATATATATATATATATATATATATATATATATATAACACTTAAATTTGAATTATACAGGCCTTCATTTCTCATTTCGTATACAAATTTAATAATACTTACGCTGTATGCTTGAAACATCTTTTAGTTTAATGTGTATTATGTGAATATACAAAACCCACTTCCTGGTAAAAGCATTACTTAGTTCAACTGTTACTGTGAAGATTTGTTCTCTATAACAGGTTATTTATTGATTTGTACCGACTGCGTAAAACTGTTTATTAGTATACCCGCGACGTTCGTGTGCAAGAATACCTGGCGGTGATATTCCCATGGCCTATCTTTTTGGTAAGCGTAAACGTATTTGTTAACGCCGACTGTCGCGAAAACGCGACATACCGATTTAGCGCATAGCATATGTGCATAGGTACATTTATCCTACTGCTGCCGGTCGTTGTGTATTGGGTACATCCAGACGGTTGTATCGGTACCAACGGTCACGTTGTCAAGTCGAAATGTATGACGTCACACTCTCTTGACTCAATCGCATCGCAATTTATTTGACTTCGTGAATTCAGCGTACTTATATTGATTATTATTACTAAATAGATGGTCCGTTTTTACTACAAAAAATACTAATATCTTTATTATTTAATCTTTTATGTATATAATCAGTATAAATCACATATGAGAATAATTTAGGGAGTTATCTTCTGATTACGGTTTGTCGCGTTTTCGCGACATCCGACAATAAGACATAAAATTGTACTCGGGTGCCAAGCAGAGGCGTAGCGACCCTTCCCAGCGCCCGGGGACAAACTTTTCGAATTGCACCCCCCCTCAAGATTTCGATTTGCACCCCCCCCCCCTCAAACTTTTGATTTGCACCCTCCTCAACCTTTCAATTTACTTTTCCAACACATTTTGGCGCCCCCTAAGGTCGGCGCCCGGAGACATATGTCCCCCCCCGCCACCCCCCCTCCTCACTACGCTACTGGTGCCAAGCAGGTATAGCGAAATAAAAAGCCTCGCAAAGCTGTAATTTCTTAAAGTATGGTTATAAATAAGTGAAGAATTTACAATATTGTCTTCACCTATATATATATATATATATATATATATATATATATATATATATATATATATATATATACTTTAGAACGTTAGGGACCATGTGGTAGGTGAAGTAGAGTTCACGTATTTCATTGACATTGGCATATATATAGAGAGAGCGATACTGGAATAATGTGATCATGCTGTTGGGTACAACATAACTAATTTAGCTTTGAAATAGCATTGTAAAATATTAGGAGAAAATTAAAAATAAATAGACAACAGGAAGTGAGGTGGTGGACCACTATCCTGGATATTACCAAAGAAGGGTCTTCACAACGAAGTTGACAATAATAACACTGAGCATAGACCTACACCTCGTAATAAATACAGTAAGGTTGAATACTAACAAAAACTATCCATTGCAGTGCTATTGAATACCTACATGAGTGGCATTATACTGGCATTTAGTAACGACAGCAGTTTTATTGCATACCCACATCTTCAACACTGAGTACTGTTATCAGTGACACTAAGCACCCTCTAATTCAGCACTAAGTACCAACAGTAGTGATACTGAGTACCTACTTCCAAGGCTGAGTACCTACAGAAATGTTATCGATTACCAATAGCGTCAGCGCTGAGTACCCACAGTTTCAGCACTCAGTGCACATGGCTTCAACACTCAGTACCCGCTGTTTCAGCACTGAATATCCATAGCATTAGCAATATGTAGCTATTGCACTGTCATTGGTAATCAATAGCAGTATCATTCGAGCACAACAGCCGTAGCACGAAGAACCGAAATCGGAAACATTGGGTAGTATCAACATTAGCAGTGAGTACCCACACCAGTGGCACTGAGTACCCACAACAGTGACACCAAGTACCCACAGCTACATTGAGCATGGAAGAATATACAAAGATTGAACAACGGCTGTCATTATTTGACAGTATTTGTTCACGTGCTTTGTGTGAATAGCAAATATAGGTCAATTGAGAAATATGAATCTTTACTAGTTGACCTTGAATAAGTGTTCACGAAAATGACGTAACCAGGGACAACTAAGGCTCTACACATTTAAGAAAGTCCTTTCATATGTTACTGTAGTGTAGTAGAACCACGACAGCAAGGCTTCTAAACACCAATTCATAAAAGTGAGCTGGTGCAGCAGTTATGTAGCTCCATGCCTCAGCTACTACACTAAAGATTTCATGAATTTTTCATCTCCTTGCATGTCCATATGTTTAGTTTGTGCATAGATTTTTAGAGAACTACGTGTCATTAAAAAAAAGGAAAATGACCCGGACTAAAATAAAAAAAAATTTACTGTATTGTCCTTAAGTGCCTGATGTCGCGAATTCGAGAAATACCGTAATTAGCATAAAAAATAAGTCCAAATTTAAAAACAACTATATACATCAAATTTGGTGTCAATATTATGAGAGAAAATCAGCACACATTTTTTTACACGCTTGGAACATAATTCAGGCATTAAGGGTATATATATATATATATATATATATATATATATATATATATATACATATATATATATATATATATATATATATACATATATATATATATATATATATATATACATATATATATATATATATATATATATATACATATATATATATATATATATATATATATATATATATATATATATAGCAATGTATGTTTGTGTGTCTGTCTGTCTGTCTGTCCTTTATGCATTACTACACCTCTCATCACATCGCCTTGAAACTTTGGGAAGTTGTTGAGAATATTCCTGGGGAGGTTTCTGCGAAAAAAAAATATTTCAAATTGCAGTGGTGGCGCCTGGACAGAGCGCGATTTGTTTTTTTCTATATACGGTATATAAAAATACAAGTCTATTTCGGTTTCACACCGTTCATCCGTGTACCATGAAACTTTGGGGAGATGATTAGACCATTCAAAGGTAGGGTTCTGCAAATTTTTATTTTGATATACACGGTATATAAAAAATAAAACTCGGATGCGGTTCATCTGAGTGCCATGAAACTTTAAGAAGTAGATGAGAATACTCTGTGAAAAAAAAATAAAGTTTCTTATGGGCGGCGCAATGTAGGATACAACTTTCGTCAATACACGGTTTGGCGCCCAAAGTTTTAGAGCGACTGTGTTGGCGCTTGGCATCCGTTAGTCGAGCGTCCTGCAGGGGTACTACTGTATTCAGCGGTAAAACCACAACAGGCTTCTAAAAATAACTTTGTAAAGCGAGGAAATCCTTCTGTACAGTTTCGTCACCTTGCGAAAGATGAAAAAATAACTTTTTGAATATGAGGAGCCTACTGTAGAGTTTCGTCACCTTGCAAATGATGAAATAAGCATCTATTATCAGACGATCCAGTCAGAAATTGAGATCGATTATCTAAAAATAGACCATTAGTAACGCTAGCATATTGCATCAGTCACACTGATGTTTAAAAATCGTCAAATAAGTTTTGTTGCGTATTAAAGAAAAAAATCCTGTTCATTTGTGTCACTTTAGCGAATGACGAAATCTGCATCATTGTTTACAGGATGCTATTTGGCACGCTGGGTTATCCTATGAGCACGATGGCGCCTGTTAGTTTTAAGGAGCCAGGGGCCGTTTGCTGCAACTATGCGGTAGTGTAATCGGGGGTGGGGGGCTCCTCTACGTCCCTGACACATGGGTGGTCACCGAAGTGTGTTCTACCTCATTATTTCGGTGAGTGATTAATGTACACTCAAGGTTTTCATGCGGTAGTGTAGGTAAACCCATGCCCCGATATTTATGATTTAAGCGCAGGCTTTGTTTACATTTAAATAACACAGTTTTAGAAAACAAGGTCACGCTTCTAAGAACATATGATTGGTAATGCATTGGTAAGATCCTTCTAATATATTTCGTCAGAATTTCTTCTATCCCCGCGGGAACGCGCAGGGGGCGGGTACGCTAGTATATATATAAAGCAATGTATGTCTGTATGTGTATCTGTCTTTTTGTCTTTTATGCATTACTACACCTCTCATCACATCGCCATTAAACTTTGGGAAGTTATTAAGAATATTTCTGGGGAGGTTTCAAATTCGCAGGGGTGGCGCCCAGGCGCGATTTGTTTTTTCTCTATATACGGTATATAAAATAAAAGTCGATTTTGGTTTGACAGCATTCATCCGATCGTCGTCAAACTTTGAAGAGTTCATTAGAACACTGCGGGGAAGGGTTCCTTTAAAAAAATCATTTTTACTTTCTCGACATTTTACACCACCTTGAGTCTGAAAAACATATTTTTGCAATCTTGTCAGTATGTCTGTGTGTATGTCTGTGTGTATGTCTGTGTGTGTGTCTGTGTGTGTGTCTGTAAACACGTTAAACTTGAGTACCGTTACAGCTAGGTTGATGAAATTTAAAAAATAAGTATTTTATCAAAATGGTAGATCCGTATCAACTTTTGAACGATTTTCGATAACCGGAAGTGGTACTTTTTTACTTTGAATTTTTCAAAAGCCTATAACTTGAGTACTATTTTAGATAGATAAATGAAATTTCACAAGTAAGTAAAAAATCTAATCTCCAACCTTCTATCAAAGTTTGAGTAATTTCCGTTGACCAGAAGTAGTAATTTACGCTATTTCTGATTTAAAAAATAACGCATGTAAATTTATAAAGTACTAATAATATTGCGCACTATTATGCACATTTTGTTTTGGCGTTCGATTGGTGCGCAATTCTTTTTTTCTATGAAATTCTATTCTATTTTAAAAAGTTTAAGTATTTAAAATGGATTGAAAATCATAACTATATCCCGAGTTCCCATCCCCTGTTGTTTTATATAAGAATATTCGAGAAAGTTTAGGGGAGATCACTCTCGGTTTATTAATATCTCAAAGGCGGCGCCACGGGAGGATGCGATTTTACGCTATGTACGGAATATAAAAATAAAAATCGATTTTGGTTGGACAGCGTTCATCCGATCACCATCAAACTTTGGTGAGTTCATAAGAACACTTTGGGGAAGGTTTCTGTAAAAAAATCATTTTTAATTTCGCAAGGGCGGCGCCACGGGAGGGTGCGATTTTTCTCTATATACGGTATATAAAAAATAAAAATAGATGCGGTTCGACACCTTTCATCAGTGTGCCATGAAACTTTGGGGAGTTGATGAGAATACTCCCAAGAATGTTTCTGTGAACAGAAG